ATAAAGAACAAGAAACTAGAGACATTTATAGCTAAATGGATGCATATTGAGGCCATACTCTTAAGTGAAATAAATAGGACACATATGTGTAAATACTTAATAGTTTCTGTAGTGTTAGAAACTGAAAGTGTAAAAAAAAAAAGAAAATGAAAGTGTAAATAAGGACTAAAAGTTATAATAGATAATGTGAAATAGGAAGAAAAGGGACAAAGGGGAGGGGGAAGTGGGAGGTGTAGGGGAAAGGAAAGAAGGGAATGGAATTAATATGAGAAAATGAAAAAAATGGAAACAAAGTCTTTGTAAATGGGAAGGGATGGAGTTTTTGAAGGGAGGGCAGGGGAAGGGCGAAAAATAAGAACCAAGAGAGATTATGTAAAGTTGCAAATTTCCAATGATGTATGTCATTATATTGTATACCTAAAATGTACCTATAAAGTAATATTAAAAAAAAGAATTGAGAATTTACACAAAGTAAATATTTAGGTTATATACCATATATTGGCTGTCATCATGTGTTGTTAGCAAAAGCATGTAGTTATCTCTAGAAGGGTTATCAGAACTCTGAGGTAATTAATAACGTAAGCCATATATTTCTCTTATATGTAGACTATGGTTTTTCTCTTAAGAATATTTTGATGTCTTAAACATTCAAGCTATCCAAAAATATTTTGTTATTAAATTTTCCGTGAATAGTGTTACTTTGAAGCTTCTAGGATCTGGAAGACCAGGCTATTCCATGCAATTTTCCCCTTGAGGAAATAGAAAACCAATGTTAAATTTAATCATATTGTAGTCAGATATTTTTAAAAGAGAATGAATAGAGAGGTAAAACAAAGCTGTTAAACATATGGCACAATGATAATAAGGTGTGATAAAAGTTTTAAATTAAAACACATTCCCATAGAATATATTGGAATGGTGTGAAAAATTAAAGAACCCCATAGTATTTAGAGATCTAAGACATATTAGACTCTTTGTTTCTTTAAATGGTTCTTTTTTACTATGAAGAATAATGGAAGACAGTGATGATAAAGATGCAAAGCTTGATGAAGAAATAGAAGCTGAGTTGGATAAAATCAGCATTTCCTCCTTGGAAAAAGAAGAGACTGAAAGTGATTCAAAGTCAGAAACCCAGAGTGATGACAGTGATATTGTAAGTGTTAACTGTTGCACTTCTAAACCTTCTAACATTAGCAGGTTTTTCAGGAGAAAGATGAATGGTCTCAGTGTTTTGCTATATGTAACTCATATTTTACTTTTTATCTTAGGATCATTACTATAAAGTACGCATATTTGTATTAGAAGATAGATTACTCATAATTACAAATGTATACACATGTATTTGTAAAACAGAGACTATACGTGGTTTTGTATTTTTTGTACTTCATCATGAGCATTTTGGTGAGATTAGATTACATGAAAGAAAAATTTGTGTGAAATATTTAGACCCATTATGGAAATAGCTTCCTTTGGGAATCAAACAAATTAATTTTTTATGTGTGGATTTTTCCCAATGTTTATGTGCTTACAAACTTCATTCATAAAGAATTCATTCTTTTACCAAAAAATCCATAATCCAATCATAATTTATTTCTAGGAATGTTGTGAAATATAGATCTAATTTGAACATATCCTGACATATTTAGCTAATATTCTGGGTGTTCCTTTTCTTTTTAATTGGTTTGTCATATGTCCTTCACGTATGTTTAGTTCTAATATATATGACCTATCAAAAACTATTATTTTTCATTATTCTGTTAATTTTTCCATATTGTAGTTTTATATTTTTAAATATCAAATGGGTCAAATGCTTTTGATCTTTTTACCATTTTGAAGTTTTGGTAACTAAGCATTTTACAAAACAATACAACTCCTAGTGTAAGGTTTTAAAAACTAATTCTACTTAGATTTTTAATTAAGATTACATTAAACTTACCCATGAGTTTTAGACAGTTTTATTTTTACAGCATTTTGTCTTTTTATCCAGTTAATTTAAATGAGATAAAGAATACTGAAATTCATTTGAATATGATAGCCATCAGAACAATACATTTTATTATATTTTTATACATAAAGGTGGAGGAATACAAATCTAAAGCTCTTCTAACTTCAAATACCTCACTATTATTTATATAATTCAGGATAAATATTACTAGGGAAAGATACAACTAATGTTGAAAGATTCAGGGATTACTGATTATATTTCACAGGACATTAAAGGTTTGTAGAAGCTAGCAATCTTATAATGTAAATTTCTGTCTTTTATTTTTCGTTTTTATTTCTTTCATTTTTCAATTGCTACATATTCCACATCTCATAGGGAGCTGGTACATGTGGATATGACTATCTTTACAGATAACTCAAGTTTATCCTTCTTTATAGTACAGCAGTATTCTATTGTGTATAAATACCACATTTTTACCCATCCATTTGTTGATGGACATAGAAGCTGCTTCCATTTAATTGTTATGAATTTTGCTGCTATAAACATGGGGATGCAGTTTGAGATATGGTCCTTTTATACCTATTTTCTTCATGGTTTTTACTATGAACGAATGTTGCATTTTCCCAAAGTTTTTTTCTGCATCAGTTGAAATTATCGTACGCTTTCCATCTTTGCTTCTGTTTATGTGCTGTATTACATTTACCGATTTGTATATGTTGAACCATTCCTGCATCCCTGAGATGAATTCTACTTTGTTATAATGTATGATCATTTTTATGATTTGTTGTCAGTATCTTGTTGAGGATTTTTTTGTCTACATTTATTAAAGAGATTGGCCTTTAGTGCTCTTATTTGCTTGAGTCCTTTTCTCATGTTGGAATTAGGGAAATACTAGCTTCCAGGAAAGATTTTAGGAGTATGCCTTCTCTTTCAGTTTCATTAGTTTTTTTTTTTTTTTTGGTTCCCGAGATCAAACTCGGGACCTTGCGCTTGCCAGGCAGGCACCGGAACCACTGAGCTAAATACCTGGCCCGAGTTTCATTAGTTTTAAGAGCATTGATGTTAGGTCTTCCCTAACGTTCTTATAGAATTCAATGGTAAATCCATCAGATCCTGAGCTTTTCTTAGTTGATATTTTTTTGTTTTTAAATTACTGATTTTGTTTTGTTGCTCAATATTGGATTATTTGGAGTATTTTATCTCCTTGGTTCATTTTTGGCAATTCAAATATGTATAGGAGTCTATTCACTTCTTCTGGATTTTCCAATTTATTGGAGTAAAGCTTGTCAAAGTAGCTGTACTTTTGTGGATACTGGAGTTGTTCATTGTTAATTTCACCTTTTTGACTTCTAATTGCATTCATTTGGGTCTTTTCTTTCCTTTTTCTAGTATGATTAAGTAAGTATTTGTCTAGTTTGTTTACTCTTTTAAAGAACCAGCTCTTCAATTTATTCACTTTTTATATTCTTTTTTCTTTTTTAATCTCAATTTTATTGATTTCTGCTCTGACCTTTTAATACTTTTCTTCCATGTACTACCTTTTTTATTTGAATTGCTTGTGTATTTCTGGGCCTTGAAGTGCATAATTACTTTATTTATCTGGGCTTACTCTGTTTTTCTGATGTGAATATTCACAGCTATAAACTTGTGTCTTAGGGGAACATTTATTTTGTCCCATAAGTTCTGGTGTGTTGTAGTAGGATTGTCCTTTGATTTTTACTAACCGTCTAATTTCTTGATTTCTTCTGTGACCCATTGACTATTCAGGAGGGTATTATTTTATTTCCATGTTTTTGGATAATTTATGTGGTTTCTTTGCTTGTAGATTTCATTGCTCTATGATCTGATAATATGCCTTGTATAATTTTGATTTTTAAAAAATCTACTTAAGTGTGCTGTATGGGTTAATATATGGTCTGCTTTAAAGAAAGTCCCATGTGCTGTTGTTGCTGGGTGGGAAACTGTAAATATTTATTAAGTACATTTGTTCAAAGGTTTGTTTAAACTCTGATATTTTTGTGTTGATTTCTTTTGTCTAGTTGATCTATTTGTGACAGTGAGTTCTTGAGGTCTACTACCATAATTCTGTTGGAGTTTATCTAATCTTTTATGTCCAGTAACTTTTTTTTTATCAAAGTTGGTGTGGTGGTGTTTAGTGCATATATATTTATAATTGCTATCTTTTCCTGTTAAGTTGTTCACTTAATCAATATGTAGTGACCTTCTTTGGCTCTTCTGATTAGTTTTGGCCTAAAGTCCATTTTTTCTAAAAATAGAGTAGTTACTCCTTCTTGTTTTGGGATTCCTGTTGCATGAAATATCATTTTCTATCCTTTGATTTTTAAGGGTTTTTTTGGATTAAGTATGTCTCTTTTACACAGCATATCATCTGATTTTGTAAATCTATTTTGTCAACCTATGTCTGTTGATTGGGAAATTGAGACCATTTGCCTTGAGAGTTTTTACTGAAATGTATAAACTTATTCTTGTAATTGAATTATTTCCCTGTTGCTGATTTCTCTTTTCACTATCTTTGTGTTTGATAATCACAAAGTAATTTTTAGAATGTATTAAATAATTACATAAGGTATTAGGGATTAAATATTTTGGAAAAATCTCTGCAGTTTTGATTAATAGTTGGTAATTTTTTTTTGAAGTTGGAATTAATATTAAAATACACACAAGTACTGAACTCATGTAAAAAATATACAGCCTGTAATGAAGTTAATAAAAATTATGCACAGATAACTTATTTGTTTCCTTGTATTTTTTTAGAAGTGCATAATTAAGAAGCAAATTTTAACAAAATGTGTTTTTCTGAACTAAACTGTTGATATACGGGGCCATTTTACCTCATTTACACTTTACGCAAAATTTTCTTGTGGTGTCAACTGCTATATTTGAGACATCACTTTTTTTTTTTTTTTTTTTGTACCAGAGATCGAACTCGGGATCTTGCTCTTGCGAGGCAGGCAGCGGAACCACTGAGCTAAATCCCCGGCCCTTACACATCATTTTGATAATAATCCCTTTCACAGTTTCTTTTTAATTCAAAATTTAGGGTGAAGATAAATTACCAGAGTCAGTTATTCACTGTATTAACACTATAAAGAACAGGAGTAAAGCCGTTGAAGAGCTCATTCTTCAGGATTTAGAAGATAATGATGTCTTAAGTAAGTAGGATTTTCATTTGCTTGGGCGATAAGATTTCTGTAAGTATGAATATAATTTAGAAAACTAAATTTCCTACCTCTTGCTATGTATATATATGAATTTATTTTTAATACAATATCTATAGTATGTTGAACTGTTGGATTTACTTCATTTTTTCCTTACCTATCTTCCTTTTATCTCCAACAAATAATGTTTGTTTTCTCAGTCTTTCTTTCTTTCTTTCTTTCTTTCCTTCTTTCTTTCTTTCTTTTTCCTTCCTTCCTTCCTTCCTTCCTTCTTTCTCTCTGTTTCTGGTTTTTTTTTTTTTTTTCCAGTGCTAGGGATGGAATCCCGAGCCTTGTGCATGCTAGTCAAGCAGTCTACCCCTGAAATACATCCCTAACCCTTTTTTGAAGTTTTCATTTTGAGACACGGTCTCAATAAATTACCAAGGCTAGCTTCAAACTTAGGATTTTTCTACCTCAGCCTCTTCTTCCCACCATTCCAGTAGCTGAGGTTACAAGAGTGTGCAGGGCTCCTAGTTTTAATTATTTCCAGACACTATTATTTTACATGAATGAGAAGACTACTAAATGGTGATTCTATACCTGTGAATGATATATTACTAAAGCTGTTTTAAAATACAACATAGATAGATATTCAACGAATATTACTGTGTAATAGTGTATTTTCTAGGCACTACGCATAAAATAGTGAACAAAAAAATGGTCTCTCTCCCCTGTTCTAATGCTCCAGTGTGTCAAGACAGATAATACATAGATAGTTAATATTTTGATAGCGATAATTGCTCTAAGCCAGAAAATTGAAGGCAAGGTGACAGAGACTAGAAATTCCAATTTTAAATAGGATAGTCAGGGAGAAGGTGGTATTTGATATGGATATATTTGGGCAGGGTGAGCCATGTAAATATCTTGAAATCCAGTATTCCAGAAAGAGGAATAGTAAAGATCAAGGCATATGAGTGGCCTTAGTATGTTTGAAGAACAGCAAGTGTTTGTTCTTCCCTGAGAAAGCAAGGTATTAGAGGATACAGGGCTTTTGTAAACTCTAATATGGACTTTGAATTCTATTCTCAGTATGTGAAGTATTTTGAGTAAGTAGTGGTGATATCTGCCATATATTGAGATAATCAGTCTGTTGACTCTGCAGAGAAGACACCTCAACATAACCAGATTACTACAAGACTATTCCAATAGTACAGTTAAGAGATGAGAGTGGTTTGGGTAAATTTGAGGAAAAGGATTAGATTGTAGAAACAATTTTCTGTATAAAAGGGGTTTAACAATGAATTGTTGAAAAAGGAAGAAAGTAGCTCCAATATTTTTCTGGAGTACCGGTGTGAAAGGATATGTAAAGATTTACTATGTATGCATCAAATGTTGACAATAATAATGTGTAGTTGGAGTATGAATGATTTTCATGGTTTGTTTATTTTTATGAAGGACATATAATGAAAATGTATTATAGATTCATTGCCAATTATGCAGCCTAATTCTAGCTCAGTTATGTACAAAACTAAAAGAAACACATTGTGGAAAACTGGTGGATGAGAAGAGATATAGCAACATTTACAGCAGTGATACAGACGTTTTCATATGCAGCTTTAGCCAGCCAAATTTAATAATGTCTGTGATTTTTTTTTGAGACAAGTTCTCATTATGTTGTTCAGGATGGCAAGGCATTAAACTAGGAAAAACTTGGCAACTTGGATAACCTATCAAAAAAAATATTTCACAGATTATGTAATGATTAACTTTTTAAAAAGTTATCTACTTTTAATACAAGCTGTACAAGTGTAATATGCACACAAAAGTAGAAGCTAATTTCATTTATAAATAAGTGTATTTTAATTGTGATTCTCAGTTGAATTCAACAGAGTCACTCTACCAACTATAAGCAGCAGATTTTTTGTTTGTTTTTATGGGTGGAGAAAACATCTGATTATTTATTGACGTAAAACCAAATTAGTGTCTGAGAACAGTGATTTCTTGTTATACTAATGTTCTGTGAGTTGACTGTGCTCAGTTGAACGGTTCTTCCCTGGAATTTTTATGCATTATAGTGGGATGTCGGTTAAGTCTGCAGTCATCTGAAGTCTTAACTAGATTGGAATTCAAAATGGCTTACTGAAGTGGCTTGCAGTTGATGTTCCTTGCTGTGCTGTCTGAGTTCAGATTCTTCTGTGAACTGCAAGCATCTACATGTGGCCTCTTCTTTTGGCTTGTAGTTACTTATCAGAGCATAGCACTTGGAATCCAAGATGAAAGGTTCCAATGCAAAATACCGAGAGTAAGGTGGAACCTGTATGACTTATGACAGCATCACACAGCACCTTATCTGCCATATCCTGAAAGTTATATAGGTTCACTTTAGTTCTGTGTAGAAGGGAACTACACAGGTTGTGTATACCAGTAGTCATGGTTCTTCAGGAGATCCATCTTTGGAGATTAGCCACTTCAATAAAAGAATTCTTAATAGTTTGAAGACACAGTCTCTAGGCTGAATATTCAAGGGGGTGGAAAAAAACATGTCCATTGCAGAATTGGGCTGCAGGGTTCAGAGAAATGAATTTTCTCTCTCTTCAGCTCAAAACTCTCTATATCACAATCTGGGCTAAAAAGATGAAAAATATCATCACCTGCTTTTCCTTATACTTATTTTTTTGAAAATATATTTTTATGCAAAATATATATACATATATATCCAAATATCCATATATATATATATATATATATATATATCTCCAGAACCTAAAACCCACTGAGAAATCTAGCTGCAAGGGAATCTAGATAATATTTTTTGCTTTTAAGCCTCACATAGGAAAGTATATCAGAAAGATTTTAAATAGGTATTGAAGGTGAAAATACATGATAGCTGCAAAGTAGGTGTGAATGTTTAGTTAACCAGCAGAATTGTCCTGTGTACAGAAAGTTTACTATTAGGAAACAATACCATGATATACACATTTATTGAGCAAAGGAAAAGAAATCTAACTATATCTGAGCAGATAATAAAAAGATAATACAATTCAAAAAAATCTCATAAAGAATAAAATTCCACCTTGTTCATGATAGTAGTTATAATATTTTTAATAAATATCTATATTAAAGTGTTTTCATTTACTTGTTGTAAGATTATATTGTTAGTTTGTTGTGGGTAGAATCAAACTTTTGTTGATTTCACAGCAAGGAGTGAATGCAATGTCAAGCAAAGCATGATTCTGTATGCAGGGAAAATAAATGTCAGTCAAAGAAAATTAAAAAGTGATGAAGAGAGTACTTTAAAATTTGTTGCTTTTGTTTTCTAGAAAGAAGATAACAGATTTCTTGTATTTACTATTCTTCTTTATTTTCTGTTGTTTTGAATACTGTTATTGACCAATAAAATACTCCGATAGTTGAGATAAAAAGATTACAAAAAGTTGAGATTTTGATGTAGTGCATTTTACTATTTGACATTACGATATTTTTTCATTTTTTTCTAGGCACTAGTTATGAAGCAGTTTCTAATAATCATATGCACTTAAGGATAGGATTATTAACTGAATGTAAAGAAAATCCGGAGCAATTATTGAAGGTATAGGTTCAAACTTTGACTGAAAGTTCTCACTATTGCAGTTAGTAATTTATTTTTCCTTCTTATATAGAATGATAATTCACTATTTTTATGTAAAAGTAAAGAATGTTTTATTTTAAGCAGATCATTTTTGGTTTTACAGTTTTCTCTGGCATACCATAAAAAAACCACACAAATTTCAACCTTTAAGAATCTTAAAATAAGTATTTGAGCTATTAATATTTGGAAATTTAATGTTCATATAGATAAAGCAGTAGAACTATATTCCCTGGTATTTTTTCTTAAAATTTCTGTGGAAAGTAATGGTTATACTCTAGTGTTTCTTACCTCTCCTAGGAATGTACTATGTCCCATCTGAGGCTTTAAATGCTTTATTGAAACCACAAATGTAGAAAATTTTATACTACATTTTGAAAACAGATAAAAGGAAAAAATTTTAAATATAAAAGTGAAGCAAAGCCTACACATTTTATTATATTGAAACCCCACAAATGTATGTGAATTTCCTCTGCAAATTCATTTCTTGGACATATTTTTGCCTCCCATTTTTGCACTTTTATCTAACTTTATCCTTCTTCTGTAAGATGTTTGGCATACTTTGGAAATTACATTTTTGCCCCTTACTCATTTTTGGTAACATTCCAATTTGAAATACTAATTTTGAATTTCAGACTACTACTTCATTGAAGTAAATGTCATATCTTTCCAAATAGAGGATTATGAAAATAAAATTATAGAAAATTATTAATCAAAATTATGACTTATGCATAATTCAGGTTAAGTAGAAAATAATTATTTCTCTATTATCTTATTAAATATATCAGTAGTTTTTATACATGAGCCGTGAGTAATTACTTCAGGTAAGAAAGAGAAATGCTTTAGGAAAAATATTGTCTTTAGTAGAAACACTCTGAAATAATTAATTACCAAGGAGATTTACTAAATATTACAGATTAACATTAAATATTGATTAAATTCTGGAATAACTGTGATACGTTAAAATATAGACTGCTTGCATGGAGAAAACATTTTTACTCATAGAGAAAATAATTATCAATACACTATAGATTTGTATTGAGAGAAATTTGAAGCAAGTAAAATTCTGTGTAAGTATATATTTTATATATAAAAATATTATATTTTTATTCATTAATATTATTTTAACCCCTTAGATATTATCGGGACTAGAAAAAGAAGATTTTATTAGAAGTGAAACCCACTGTGCCAGCCGTGGTTCTCCTCCTGAGCTCAGTCCTCATGATTTGCCCATTGATGAATATGTTTTATCAGGTGGACTCAGTTTCTCATTGATATTGTGGCCATTTTTATATAGGTGATCATAGTTATCTGGAAAAAACTTTTTCCATTTTTCTTTTTGACATTTATAAAAATATTACAAGATTTGAAAATTATTGTTTTTGTTATTTAATTTTTTTGTTATTTTGTTATTTAATTTCATGTTCACATAGTTTCCTTTATGCCTTCTAAATTAAGTTGATTTAAGTATTTTTAACATTTTCCACATGTAGGGCTGGCTGAAGTGGGTATTGTATAGCTAATCCTGAATTAGTTAAGGATCTCTTACCCACATCACTTAACTATCCCTTAAGAAAAGATGCACACATACACATTATAATTTTATTTGAAGTTTTCAGTAATATTTTAAGACAAATATTTGACTTCCTTATTGACTATGATGGATTTTTTATGCATATTCAATTAGGCATTTTCTTTTTGCATATTATCATTCTTACTTTGCCTTTTTATTTTGTTTTCATTTTCTATAGATGTTTTATTTATTTGTTTTGGTTTGGTTTGGTTTGATTTTTTGTAGTGTTGGAGATATAACATAGGGCCTGTGCATAGTTAGTAAGTGCTCTACCACTGAATCATATTTCCAGCTGAATCAGTTTGGTGCTATGTTGACCTTATTTACTCACTTTGAAATTACTTTTATGTTTTAAATTATATCAGTTTTGATGGATTTGATCTTTAAAATAATACCATTATATTTCTTCATGAATGTAGATGACGTGGATATAAACTTTGGATACTTTGAAGTGGAAGAAAGATGTAGGCAGTCTTTTGAAGCTTGGCAAAACAAACAGAAAGAGCTAGAAGACAAAGACAAAGAAACTCTCAAAGCACAGAGGGATAGAGAAGAAAAGCAGTTTCAAGAAGAAGAAAAAAAGAGAGATTACTGGATGAAGCAATTTGAAGTTGAAAAGCAAAAGATAGAGAATCTTCAAAAAGTAAGATTTCTTATTGGTTTTGCTTTTCATACATTTTTAAAATTTGTGTAGCTACCTCAGAAGAGTATTGATGTTTGAATTATGATGAATGTTGACCTTTATTTTATGACTTTAGTTATGGTAATGGAAGCAAAAATGTAAATTAGCACTATTTGATATGGACACCTTGATTACTTTTCATGAAATTCATTGGAATTTTAGATACTGATTTGGATCTTGGAAACCCCCAATGTGCACTAAGTTTTGAAGATCATTCCAGAATTTAAGTATCCTAGAAAATTAAGAATCATCAGAAATTTATCACATAAATTTTTTTATTATACCCTTCTAATCATATGAAAGAGTGACAGTTTTCTTTATAACTTAATGTCTTTGCTCTGTAGTCTAGTATATAACACATTTTAAGTAAAACATATCTGGTTGAAGTAGTTGACCAGTTAGGGTGACATTCTGTGCCCTGGTCCTGAATTGAACCAATTTCTTGAACCACAAGGAGTTTTGTATTTGCTTATATGTCTGCTTTTTGTGTCAGTCAGGTCGTATTAGCAGTCTGTTGAGAAAGTAGTGGTGATTAGGATCCTACTTTTAGGTGATGAAGATCTTAGGAGTTCTAGAGAATAGACAGGACCAAATCTTGTGTTTGATTACTAAAGTATATTTGTATATTACCCAGAACTTGCTGGTTATCATAAGTAGCTGGAGTGTCAGAGAAAGGCAAATACCTGAATCAAAAGGAAGTTATTACCATAAACAATATTTTAGAAAACCTGTACAGTCAGAAAGCATGCATACATTTATTATACCACAAAATTAACAATAGTAATTATCACAATTATATGAAACCTTATGCCTTTTAATTTAGTTTTGTACTAAAAGGATCTTTTCAATAAAACCTTGTTTTTCTCATAGAAAGTTTAATCTTTTGAAAATAACCAATATAAACATTTCACAATAACATATTTAGAATTTAACCCTTTGATGATAACCAATGTAAACTTATTATAATAACATATTTAAGTAATATTTATTGATGTAAGTCTCTTATTCTGCTGTGGAAACTATTAGCGGTCAGTCTGTTGTAAGAGTATGGAAACTGTTTAGGTTCCCCTAGTGAGCGAAGACTGGAAAATATTTTCATGTGGCTGCTCCTTTGTTTGGCAAAGGGAGTCCCATTTAGCAGCCTCCCCAAATCTAAGGGCCTCCATTGATTATCTTGACAGAGCTTATTTAACAACCTATAAAAACAAGGTTCTAACAATTAATACATTGTTTGTAGCCAATTAAAGTTTTGGAATGATTATATTTAGATAACAATATGCATTGCATCATTGATCTGCTAGCAACCTGGGAGAAAAATATATGCTTTTAACTTTAATAACCTTTATAAGCCAGTTTAAATTATAGGCAAATATCTTTTTAAACATTTTTAAAGGCAAAATAAGTAAAGAAATTGTTGCAAACAAAATAGATATACAATTGGACATACAAATGGACAAACATATAAGAATTCATAAATCTAGAATGCACTCAAATATATTTAGCCTAATTAAATTATAATATTTTATAATTTTTGGGTTCATAATTGTAAATAAGATTAGTCAAAACTTTTTGTAAGTCAATTTACAGGGATCTCTTATAGAATTAGAATCAGAAGGAATGAAAGCTCTTTATGCCTGTAAATGCAAACCTTTTATAACAAACTTGAAACCAACAAGCAAACATACATATTTCCTTGATAAATCACTTCTACACACCTTCTCAAAATATCTAGGACAATACTAGTCTTGTTATGTACCTCTATTAATTCTTCTAAAAATAAATACAAGACATACACACAAAATCCTTTCATATCAAAAGTATATCTCTTTTACTTATACCCTTCTTAATATTTTTTCTCAATCTCACTATAAACCTTCTATAACAAACTTATCTTCAGCTGTTAAAATTTTAAAGTGTCCTTTTTTTGTTCTCAGATTGTTACATTTTAAACTTTTGACTGTCTGCCAGTAGAACAGTAGTAACCTTGAGTTCTTTGTCAACAAACAAAATGTAGAAAAGAGCAATTTAGGGCTGGGGAATTAGCTCAGCAGCACCCTGCCTGCCTAGCAAGTGTGAGGTCCTGAGTTGGATCCCTGGTACAAAAAAAAAAAGAGCAAGTTAACCCTATAATTGCAATTCAAGAATTTGCAATGCATAAGAAATGTTTTAAGCACACAATTAAACATCAATTCAAGTTGCAACAAAGATACATTGATCAATTAGCTAAAATTTGTAATTTGATTTCTCTTGTAAAATCTCTTTATGTCAGGTAGAGCACAGTTGCAGTTTGTCTGGCTTTGTTTTGGATTTGCAGAGCTTTGCAGGCAGCATCAGGCTGATAACACAGTGCAGGTCTTGGGGCTCTTAGAGCTGGGAGTGTTTCTGGCTGTTTTGTTTTCTGCTCTTCAGAGCTTTCCTAGCTGTTTTGATTCTATTTACTTATTTTCTCATTACAGTTTTTTCCAATCTTAGTGTAAATTTTGATTTTTTTTTTAGTCTGACCACAGTGCCCCACCTGCAGTAAAGCCAAGCAGTTCTCCTCATGCTTTTGCCCCCACCTCCTCTGCAGACACCTGTGATTTTAGCAACTCAAGTGGAAGGGAAGACTGTTCAACTTCCTTTGGAGGGGAAGCACTGGGGGTTGCCTTTAACAATGTCACATTTTCTGAAAGAGGCAAGTCTGGCATGTGAAAGATAGCAGATTTGGCAAGCAGTTGTTCTAAAACCAAAACTAAATGGTTCTCACCAGTGGCTGATTGCCTTGGAGCAGAAGTTTGAGCAGCTCCCAGGCTTGGTTGTTCAAGCCACAAAACAGAGCACACAAGGCTCCAGGTTGTCAAGGTCTCAGTTAACGCCTCAAGGGGATAATTTTTCTTCTTTGTTGAGCTGTCTGGATGTTATTTTACATGCTCTCCAAGTTCCATGTTTAAAGGTCTTGTTTGTGAAAAATGATGATTATATTTACCTATCTTTTGGAGCATTTAATTCACCATTGCAGGGCAGCTTTGCCCAAAAGTGATTTCCCCATGTTTTAGCCCCAGCTGACCAGCTAACTACCTTTACTACCTTCTTGCATCTGAAGCACCTACATCTTTTTCTGAGTTTTGCTTCATGTTTGGACTTCCTTGTCTTGATGTGAGGTGCACTGCATTGTTGATTATTTTTCTTTTTCTTTTTTTATTCTGAGTGGCCTCACTTAGCAGGCCTTTGCTCATGGTTCAAGCCCCCATAATGGGTGTCAATTACTGCAGTTAGGTTCCAGCAACCTACCCAGTATATGATGCAGGCCTGAAAGAAAACACACTGAGGCAGAACTAACAGAGAAAAAGTGGAGTGCCAGGACAATCAATGCTAGTGCAACTGACTTTTATGGGCAGTCGATTGGGGTAAAAGCAAACTATGTTGCAGTTTCTTTGGAAATTAATGTAAATGAGGCTCATAAAGGACAAGACAAAGCATTCTTGAATTAGGAACAGAATAGACAAAATATATGGTTATAATTAGAACATTGTCCTTCTAGTCAGAAGGTTTTAATTGAGGGAATGGAATTTGGGAGCAAGTTACTCTGTCCTTGGCACATAGACTTCAGCCAAACTCACTTCTCAAAACAAGGCAATTGTTGGGTTTCCTCTTCACAGCCTGCTTTGTGCATAATCAATATTATGGTCCTCTGCAGAGCTGATTCTTTTTTGGGGGGGGGCAGAGTCTTGCTATGTAGTTCAGGCTGGCCTTGAACTCACTATGTAGTCCAGGATGGTCTCATACTCAACGGCAATCCTCCTGCCTCAGCCTCCTAAGTGTTGGGTTCTAGGCATGCACCATTATACCAGCTGTCAGCAAAATTTTGGCTTTTGACCATTTATCTTCCATTTAACTTATATTGTTTATACTTTTAAGCCATTCTTCCTTCATGTTCATTTAAACTTATTTTTTTCTGTCTTTGTTGTACTACCTATGATCCATCTTTGATAATATAATCCAATTATGATTTTTCAGGGTAAATGTATATTCATAACAAAATTAAGTGGACTATGTAAATTTCCTACAGTTAATTCACACTCAGAATTTTATCTCATACTGAATGCATTGTCTTCTTTCTGAACTGTATTCTCCTTGGGCTATTCTTGATAAGCAAAGCTATTATCATTAGTTCCAGCTAATGAACTAAACACAAATGAGAACCATTTATTACTATACCCTCTTTTATTTCTTTCTTCCCTCTAATATTACATTATCAATTTTTTCGTTCTTATATTTTACTGCTAATTTCAAGTAGTTCAAGCTTTCTTAGTGTCAGTTTAGTGAAACCATTTGACTCAGGTATATCACTGCTCAGTATACTGAAAGAGTTAAAATCGGGGTACTACAGAGATAGCTGTTTATTCCAAATAATTCAGCTATGGAAACAGTCTAGGTGCCCATCAACAGATGACTATTATTCAGAAATAAAAAGTGAAATCATGTCACTTGCAGGAAAATGGATGGAACAGGAGAACATCATGCTAAGTCAAATAAGCCAGATTTAGAAAATCAAATATCTATGTTTTCTTTCATATATAGAATCTAAATTGAAAAAAGAGGGAGAAAAAAAGAGAGATGGTAAGAAAGTAAAAAGGAGGCCATTAGAGAAAAAGGAAGAGCATGAGGGAAGGGGAAGGGAACAGGAAGGGGATCATGAGAAGTGAAAATTAAGTCAGTTAGATGCCATGTACAAGTATGCCAAAAGGAAAAACTATCTTCTTATATAGCATGCATTAGTAAAATTAAAACTAACAAATATGATATTTACTATACTTTCTACTAGATCTCCCTATCTTTGGTCTTAAAGTTCTTAAACTGATCTGCTACAGTGCTCTCAGAAGGCTAATTTTTTCCTCTTATTTCTCTTCTTAAATCCCATTTAAAGCCCCTTCAACTCATTTAAGATAGTGTCTAAAGTACTTTTCCTACTTCATTTACAGCTGTCTTATTGGCAATTTGTGACACTTTAAAATTTGTGTTGTCTTTGCATGCATCCTCACTCCTGTTACTCTGCCTGTAGATAATCCTCACTGATTCTCACAAGAGCTTCTCTAATGTTTCCCTCACTGACTTCCTTAGCATCTCTATGCCTCTTTTCCCCAAATTCTAATATAAATTTAAGAATTTCCTAAAAGCAGAACTGTAATAGTTTTTTGTTTAGTGCAAAGTACCTAGTAAATGTTAAAATTTTCTATTTCACTCCTCAAAACCTTTGAGTCTTCTTCAAGTACAGTGTTATGCATGGAACTTTTCATGATCCTGTAAAATATTTATTGCCACAGTGACATTTTACATAGTTTTTCTCTAATGATAAACTACTCCTGCTAAAGTGAAGGTAATGGTAAGCTTGTGATAGTTCCCATTTTAAAGAAGAGTTTTTGATGAACTGATTTTTGTTTATTTTGGAGTCTTAAGTAAATATGTACTAATATAAACAAATTGAAATAAAGTATTACCACTGAACTGATGTATTATATGTATTAAATGATGTGGAGAGAAAATAATTATAATCTAAAACCCCTCTTACAACATTATAATTTGCAATTTTTGCATTATACTTTGCTTAACAGTATTTCTAGCCATCATGTTTTATTGTTTGAATAAACATGTTTTAAGTAAATAAAATATCTTTTTCAGATTTAAAGCATCTTTATTTTCTCAAAAGGGCCACCCAAGGTATCATTTATATGGCAATTCAGTTTGATAGAAGATTTGTGTTTAAAGTTTTAATCCCAGAACTAATAACAGAAGACTATTGGGTGGGTTGTTGCATTTAACTCTTGTGTACAAATACATGTTGTGAAAGTTATATATAATAAACATAATATTCTTTGATATTTTAATATAATTGTGATATGATTTCATATCTTAATATAATAAATTATTATATGTTAAGGAAGAAGAAGACAAGATGAATGATAAGCTCCACAAAGAAGAGGAAATGTGGAAAGAGAAATTTAAACAGCATGAGGTATCTACTTGTGTTTAATAAATACATTAATCTTTCTCCATTCAAAATAAAATTGCTGTGCTTACAGTAGGCATTTTGAAATAATCTAGCCTAACAGATGTAGAACTTAACTCATTATAGCATTAAAAATTAATCATCAGAAATTCTCCTTAAAATAGTATGTCCTGAAAATAAAAATTAACTAGTTCAGCGAATTATGAAATTTTAATTTCCATTGAAAAGTATAATTGTAAAATTTCTTTTAAAGTTTAAGGAAAGATACTATTATGTACTTTCCATTATGAAAGGTTACTGTGTTTCTTGACACAATTTTGTTAAATAACCTCTCTGAATTTAAAATGGCTCTGATGATGTATTAGTTTCATATTTTTCACTCCACAGTTTTTATATAAAATTATTTTAAGCAACACAAATATAAAGTAGATACAACTTCAGGTAATCCTGTATTCCAACTAAACAATATTATCTTTATTTATATATTTATTTCAAAACTTTTCTAAAAAATTAGTAATAGTTTTCTCCTGTGTGTATTTAAATTTAAAAATTCATTAGGAATGGGAAGAGACACTTTTATATGAATGACAAGAAAAAAAGAGAACACTAATCCATTTGTATATAATCCAAACATAATCCAAATGCTAGATTTAGTAGAACTATTAAAATACCTATAACTATGATTCAGTAATAGAATAAGTAAGCAAACAGGTGACATGAAAAAAGAATTAAAACCTGTAAAATATCATGCACATGTTCTCGAGTTTAAAAATTCGGTATAGAAATTAAAAACTAATGGATAAATTTTGCCCTTCAGCTCTACTTCAGTTTGGCGGTACATTGGAAACAGAAAATGCAAACAGTAGTGTAACAGAAGAGTTCAACAGGAAATATCCAAATCCATGTACAGGGAGGGAAAAAAATATGAAAAGGAGAAAAGAACATAAGTAATATGTAATACATAAGGAAAAAATACAAAATTTGTAGGATAGTAAACTTGATAGGAGGGAGAGTATGGAGAGAAAGCAGTGGGTCAGGAGACTGTGTTTACAAAGGGTTCACATTGTTTTGAAAAATGAACCTACATATTCAAAGGTGATTAGTGATCTCCAAGTAAGATATATGAAAAGAAAATTATTACTGGGAATTTAACAGCGTAACTATTGAAATTCAAGATACAGGGAAGAAAAAAATTCTTAGCATTCAGAGGATAGAGACACATTACCTAAAAAGGGTCAAAAATAAAAGAGCAGCTGACAACAGCGGCAAAATGACAGAAGGGAGAAGACAGTGGAACAGAAATTCAGTGTTACTAGTTTCTTTGCTTCTCAATGAGTCATGAGTTTTCCCTGAGTTTTGGACTTATCTTTCATTTCCTGGAATATATATATAAACATAGATGTCAACATTTTTTAAATGGTTAGGATTCCTCAATCTCTGCAGAGTTGAGAATACTTTTATTTTGCTTTCAAAGTGGAATTATTTATTTGGGTATATAAACCAGTTTTATTACTACTTATATACATATATACAACAGTTTAAAGATGTGACTCCATTGCATATTTAGTTTTACTGATTGTAAACTTGGTACTTACTCCTTACATTCTTTTGAACCTTTAGGATTTTTACTTTATACATTCATCTGCACATATTTACTGATTTTCTATTATGCATCATGTAGTCTCTAAGCATATAATATAGGCAATAAAACAGAAAATATTCCTTGCTTTCATGGAGATTTTATTTGCTTTTGATATTGAAATATTGTTAGCATTTATCTAAATGTGTTGTGTATGTGTGAGAGAGTGTAATGTAAACTATTGTCCTATGGGATTTTTTTTCAGTTGAGAAACACTTTTCTACTATTTTCCTTTCAGTTTTTCTCAATTATATCTTGGAGTTCTTTGTTGATCTTTCTTAACTATTGAATATCTTTGAGATATATATGTAAATATTTGTTGAAAAGACTAAATTTTGAAATTTTTCTTTAGATAACTGGCCATTCACTCATTCTACTTTGATTTTTGAGAGAATCATCTATTTGAACACTTTCGTCTTATTTTTATAAGAAATTTTTCTTCTTTAAATATTTGTTCTGAAGCCATTTTCAAATTTAAGATTTATCTAGTTTAATAGTTCTCTTTTCTCAGAAATTGGTTGTTCCTTCAACTTATTGAATGTACTATATTAAATCCTTTATGTTAGTTTCCCTTAAATATTTGCTAAAATTTTATTGATTTGTTTACTTTTGTTTTAGAATTCTAGTGACAAGAGTATTTTCTCACTTTATGTCAAATTATCTCATTATTTTTGTGTTTCATCTGTTTTGAGAGTTGGGAAGGGATAAGATGTATAAATACATTTGTTCTTCATGCTGCTTACATATATGGACTCCCGGGCCTTCTTGGTATGCTAAGGCTCAAAATAATTCCCTAATTCTGAAGTCAACTACCAGAAGTCTCCTTTATCAGAGATCCCATATTGGGACATTAGAATACATTTCTGTTATGTGAATTTTGCCTTGTGATTTCTCTTACTTTTTTTTTCCCTTGGGTCGTTCTGACATGATATACTTTTATCTTCAAAGAATTCTTCAGTTGATACCTGTATGATTTAGTACACACCCAGTAGTATCAGAGTGGCAATTGAACAATGTGTTCTAATCTCACAAATATTTTGAAATAAATGACTAGTTCCTCTGAGTAAATTTTGTAGCAATTTCATTATTATTCAGTTTTAGTATTTGTTTTTAATCTGTTAAATGAAATTGTAATAACATTACACATTTAGCTTATACTGACTACTACTTTTATTTTAGGAATTCATTAAAAACTTGCATTTACAAATGGAAGAAGAAAGAACGAGATTTAAAGACCTACAGAAAAAAGAAGAAATACGTTTGTTAAAACTTCAGCATAATGCAGCTGTAAAAATTCAAGCTAAATACAAGGCATTTGTAACCTACCAAAAATATGGCCCAATCATAAGAGAACAAATAGAAACTAAGAAAAGGAAAGCACAAGAATGGATAGAAAAAGAAGCACAAATACTACAGAAGGCAGAGGAAAAGCAAAAAAGATTAGAGGAAGAACAAAGGATAGCAGAGGAGATAAAAAAGAAAAAGGAAGAGGAAAGGAAAAAGAGAGAGAGAGAATATGAAGAAAGAAAGAATATCTTGAGACAAGAAAGAGAGGAACTACTAAAAAAGGAAAAATTAAAATTAAAAGAAAATACAAGTCAACAGCTAATAGTAAGTAGTACATTAAAGAAGGGAGAATATAATACCAAACATTTAATAATTGGCGATATATCAAAGAATAAGAATGATACAGTGAAAATGTTAGTGAATGAAAACTTAAAGAAGCAGGAAGATGTTTCCCTATGTTTAGTTGAGCAATCAAATAAGAGACAAAATATATATAGACAGGTTGTATTGAAGGAATCAGCACAAGTACAGTTAAAATCAAACCAAACAATTTTAGCAGAATTAAAAATAGAAGAAAATAGTGAAAGCCTAGGAAAAAGACAATGTTCTGGAAAATCAGTTAAGCAAGAAATAAGAAATGAAAACATAGACAAAATAACTAAATTGGAAAATTCGGATCTAAAAGAAAATGTGACTGAACAAGAATTAAAGTCTCAAATACAAAAAGAGGAAGATCTGGAACATGCCATAAGTGAGATTGTCAGACAAGAAACTCAAATAATATTAGATCATAATCAAGAAATGAATGAGGTAAAAAATGCAGCAGAGAAAAAAATCAAAGATAATCAACAAAGAGTGATACAAAATGCAGAAAATGAAGAGACATCAGAAAAGAATGGATCATTGAATGAGGAGAACAATAGGTCAGTTATTTCAAAGAAACAAAAACTACTACCAATAAAGTTAGAAAATTCTGAAGCTGTTCTACAAGAAAAAGCAATTGATTTAAAATCCAAAGGAATTGAAGAAAACCCAAAAGAAAATTCTCTAAATAGTGACATTGTGATTTTTAATTCCACTGATGCCATCACAAATATAGAAAGCAAAATTAACAAACAGGACGTTGATTTTGGTAGCCCTGCTCCTTATGAAGACTTGGGTGTTTATAATGGAATAAGTTCCTTGGTTAGTAAAGAAGTAAACTCTCTTAACTATGATCCTAAAGAAATTCCTGAAGACTGCCATGAAAATAGGGCTAGATGTGAGAGTATCACAATTTGTTCTATACCAGAGTCAGCACTTTTATCTTCTATTGAAGAAAAGAGACTAGCTTGGATAAAATCATTTAAACCTTGGCTTGAGATTTCCACACAAAATCAACAAAAGAAAATTGTTAAAAGAACGAGACCTGCAAAATGCCCAGTCAATAGTATGTCCCCTTTGAATACATTAGAAATTCTTCGCTGTGGCCCTTGGAACAATTTACAGCAGGTATTTCTCATTTTATAGTACTTTTTCCATACATAACTAAAATTATTTCAAATTTTAATAGAGGAAATCTTTTTTATAGAAGAATTCTATCCCTTAATTGATGGAGTTGCTGATGAAACATTGCTGTATTGAGAGGGGATATATTTTTAAAATATATTTTAAAAATTACTCACTGCATTGTCTCTCTGAGCACTAAAAAGAGCTTTGAGATATAATGTTGAAGCTCATACTTAAGGGCCCTACAGCCATTATTAATTCTGTAAGACTGGAAGCACCTGGCAATTTAGGGATAGAATTAGTTTGCTTTCAGTTCAGGCCACCACACCACCTAGTGGCTTCTTTCAAAATGAAGCAGATTTATTTGTGACCACTGCTGTGACAGAAGAGCTTACATGGTAGAAGACCTAGAATTCTTATCAAAAATTATAATTACTTACTCATGAGCTATATTAATGTGGCTCATATATGTCTGAAATAGTTGTAGTCAAATGCTACCAGTTTTCTGTGGTTAAGGAGACCATAGTTTCAACCAAGATTGAGACATAGAAACTAATAAATGTGTTGAAAAACAGGAAAAAATAGATTAAATTGTTCAATATTAGAAATGTTTTATTATTAAAATATGTATATTTATCTAAGTCTTGAAATTCTAATGTGTTCAATAACTTCCATTTAGCTTCTTGATATAGCTAAATGCCCAGAAAAATAAACATTCATATTAACAGACAGGCATTATTGTGTTCACTTACTCAGCAACTGTGAATTTGTCCACTGTGATTGATCAGTATTTACTGCAGGCTAAAGGAACAAAAACAGAAATCTAGTCTTTGCCTTTGTGCAACTTAAGTGGATACACAGACAAATACTGAATTATTGCTTCATAATTGCTATAAATAGGATTTCAGGATATCCTGTGAGAAGATAATGCAATGGTGAAGTTTCACAGAGACATTTTGGGACAGGAAAGACCAATCAATCTGAGAAATAAAAACTAGAACATAGATTTCAAAGGATTTTCTGTTTCCTAGCCCATCAGTTCTGTAGAATTACACAAAGAATCCCCACTTGGCACAGGCTGGTAATCCCAGCACTTTGGGATGCTGAGACAGGAGAATTACAAGTTTGAATCCTGCCTGGATAATTTAGGGAGATGATGATAATAATAATAATAATAATAATAATAATAGCAGTTCTGGGGATGTAGCTCTGTGCAAAGGCCCTGGGTTCAAACCCTAGTAACATAAAGAAGAAAAGCAAGGTTCTCTAATTGCTCTTCCCATGTTTTTCCTTAGACAGTGCTACCTGTAATCATTCTTTTTGTTCTATTCTTTCTCTGAGATGTTGTTTCAGGCTTTCCAGTACGATACATCAGCAATTGTTTCATTTATAGTAAGTTCCCCCATGGATATTTATTAGAGGTAGGCATGAGTGAAGGTTTCATGATTAACAAATTCTTGTTTCAAAAGTGTAACTGAAGTTAGAGAAACAGTAGTACTCTTCCCTTTTGGTCTAGTTTTCATTTTGTCCATTGAGAAGATGTAAGAAAGTTAAAATGTGTGAGCCTCTTCTCATTGTTATTTTTTTCTCTTGCCCGCTCTCTGTTCTTTCTTGGAACTCTTATCAATTTACATAGAGTGAAGATTAATTCTCTTCCTTTTACTTTTTTTTTTTCTTTTTGAGACAGGGTCTCTCTCTTTAGTTCAGGTTGGCTTTGGACTCACTATGTAACCCAGGCTGGCCTGGAACTAGTAATGATCTTCCAGCCTCAGCCTCCCAAGTGCTGGGATTACAGGTGTGTACCACCACACCCAGCTCTTTGTTTTACTTCTCTTAGCAAGGATTGGCAAACTAAAGTGAATAAAGATCACCCCAGGATTTGTTGAAATGCTGATTTTGATTAAATAGGTCTCTTAATTGAGAGATTATCATTAACTCTTTTGGGTCTCAGTGTTCCACAGTTTCTATAATCCTCTCACTATGATTCAAAGTAATGGTTTCAAATTTTTAATTTTTCCCTGAAGCAGCAAATATACATTATAAAGATAAAAAACCATGAATTTGTCATATAAATGATAAAGTGTTGTAAAATACCATCTTTCGCTTCCAGACCTTTCTTGCAGTGATTCTCTTTAGTAAAACAAACAAACAAACAAACAAGAAAAGCTTCTTATAATGTCTTTATTCATCATTGCTACTGACCCCTGACTCACTTCCTTACGTTGATTTTCTGATCTCTGAGCTTCACATCCTTGTCCTTCCCCTGACTGCTCACTGTCATGGGGCACTGAACAAATACTGGATTCTGGAAAAGTGAGATATAGTTTTTGCTTTTATTACTTTGAGAAATACAGTTTACCACCTGTGACTGATGCCCCTTAGGTTAAACTCAAAAATACTGAAAGTGAAATCTCTAAAACTTATACAGCAACTTAGGTCATTTTATACATAATGAGCTGTCAAAGGTTTGGAAAAATTTGGATGATTAAATGAAAAATTCATTCATGGTCTTTTATTAAAAGATAATGTATGATCCACAGGTTTCATAGATGAAACATCTAATGTTTAGGTCATAGGAGCCTAAATATGTAAATTTTTCAAGTGTTTTGTTATTATTCTTTAAAAGAAAAGGAACTATGAAAGCTATGAATGTATTTAAGATTTTCCACAGATTAGAGTGGTTCATTCATTTATTTAAGAAAGTTAGCCAATATTTGGCATGCTTCAGTTGTTGTTTTCCAAGCTGACCGTATAGTGATTGGACACATATAATTACCACTGCTTTATTAACCTTAATTTTTGGAGCACAAACCAAAATATGTGTGTGATTATTAACATGCATGTATCAATAAATAATATAAAAATTTATTTTGACATGTTTAGAAAAATCTAGAATGGGATAGAGAATCATTGCTATACCATAAGGATTTAAAAAATTTTTTTTCAATGTAAAGGAAAAATACAAATAAGCTGATATTCAAATGTAGATGCTGCTAACAAGAATATTGTAGCAGTTATTATTCATGTAGTGTAATGAAATGAAACTACAGAAATTGGCACATAATAAATAACTAGAATTTAAATGTGTTTGTATATTGGATTAAAAGCAGCATATGATTAAATCAGGCAGATTTATTATCAATTATAATCTGGAATAGCATTTGTTACTACATAGATGAAATTCATTTTTAAGTGTTCAGTTCTAAATAATGTTTTCATCTTCTATTACAGATCTAGTTTTCCAATTATAGAATTTATGCACACAGAATAATTGGGCAATGTCCAGAAGTAATTGCCACACAAATGGATAAATGTTTTCTTTCTGAAAATATTATTCAAAATAATTTGCTCCCCAAATTGTTTAAAATTATATGTGAGACATTCCTAAGATAATTATTAAAGCAAAAACTCTTATTACTTGGAGTTTTAAAATATATCATTTATTATTTTTGCTACTTAAAGCAAAGAGGAGACTAAATTTCTTCTTTATATCTTCATGAACATATGGTCCACCTAGTCCCTTTGCTATCCAGGATATCTAAGATACTGTCGTATCAGATCATAAATATTTATGTGGTGTGATTCTGAAAAGGATGCAAGGGCGTGGAAACCAAAATGAGACAAAAAACATGTATTTTAGTTTGAAGTTGTGCTGGCCATAAATGGTTAGGTTATTTTGTCTTTCCATGTGGAGAAAAAGAGAGACCAGATAGCCTAACTCAAATTGAGTAGTTAATGTGGTTCTCAAATATAATATTATTTTCTTAGATGAATTTTTTAAACAGTTTCACATTCCTAGTATATCTTATATTGTTTTATTGACGTTTCTCACCCCAATTTTCTTGACTTCTCAAGGTTACAACTGTTACATTTCAAGATTTGCCAGGTTGTAATCTGTCCACTTTGGCTGAGTGTATGAATCTTCAGCTTCTATCTCTTAGACGCTGTGGATTAACTTCTTTGCACAGCTTGAGTAACTGCAAAAACCTGAAATACATCGATGCACAGGTATGTATGTGCTCTGTTTACTACTATTTAACTTACAACAAAATATAAAAGGATTTATGTTTACATTTCAGAATAGCTTTGAGGTAACAGTTATCAAATAACCTATAAGTAAGGAGCCAAAGAGATCAAGGCCTAGGTTTGGGAGAACAAAAGAGTAGATGGTTAGGTCGTAAGACCTGGGAATTACCTATCTCTTTTTGCAGATGATGTGGCTATAATTGTTACTTTTCCTAAAGAATAACTACATTACCTGGTATTTTTAAACAACCATCATCTCATTTGCTTATAATTCATGTGGGCCATGAATCGAGGCCAGGCTTGGCTTGGGATTTCTTCTGCTTCATGCTATTTTGACTGAATCTCTTATGTAACCACAGTCAAATGGAAGGTAGTTTGAGAAGGTTCAGAATCCCCTCTGTTGTATGTCCGTTCCTTGACAGATGTTGGAATCTCTCCTAGTTATTTTTCCAGTTATCTTTCCGGAGTATTCAGGTCCTAAGAGTGAGTATTCCAAAAGAAAAACTCCGATATGCAAATGCTTATCAAGCATCTGCTTGCATTATGTGGGACACTGTTTGATTGGCTATGGTGTGAGTTCATGTGGGAGTGATGTGTTAATATTGTGAAGTTTATTTCAACTAACAAAGTAACAGCGTGTCACAATCTACCTTCTGGTTCCTAATAGATTCACATCTTTATCACTTGCAAAACACATTCATGTCTCAAAGGCTCCAGTGTCTCATCAATTTTTGGCATCAGATGCATGCTACAAACATAGGATCCTCTCATCTAAGTCAGATCCAGATAGAGATGAAGCTCTTTGTGTGAAGTTCCTTGGGTATAGTTCTCTCAACTCAAGAGATCTGCAAAATAAAATGAAAAGTTATTTCCCACTGCACCCCTGCATATCATGGTGATACAGGGCTTGATTAACTACAATAGTTTTTTCCATCCAAAATAGAAGGAGCAAAAATGACACAATAGGGCCAGGGATTTAGCTCAGTGGTGCCACCACCTGCCTCACAATCAGAAGGTCCTGAGTTTGATCACCTGGTACCAAAAAAAAAAAAAAAAAAAGAATGACACAATAATAATAAAAAAAGAATGCTCATTTAGGTTGTTTTGTATATTTTGTTATATTACCTTCTGTATTTTTTTTCAAAATATATCAGTAAATACATTTAAATTTAGTTAATTCTTTATTAGATTACCTAATATTTTAGTCTATATAGTATAGCAGTTTGCATGATTATCTTAGAAGTTAGAGATTCATATATTCATTTGGAGATCATATCTCATACTTCCTCTTTTTGCACGTTTGAAATATGTCATTAATAAGTCATTGAAATAAAATTTAGTACATCTGTTCTTTAGGAAAACCATATTGAAAGTATCAATTGTGAACATTTGGAAAATCTCTGTGTGGTTCTTCTCAATAAAAATCAACTGACTTCTCTTCATGGTTTGGATGGCTGTACTAATATCCAAAATCTTGAGCTTTCACATAATAAAATCACTCGAATTGGTAAGAACAGTGGAATTTTAATTTTTAAATATTTATTTGTCATGATTATATTGTTTCATTTGCTCTTTTTTAAAGAATAAGCCACCATTGCTAATGTGCAAATTTCGTGTTAAATTTATTTAATCTTCTATCATCTAGATTAGGAAAGTAAAAGCATTTTTAATGTGTTGAAAAGGTTTATTCTCCATGTCTGGCAAATGAGCAGTTGTTACCAGCACCGCAGGTCACTATGTTCCCTTCTCTTGTTTTTCTGTAGGAACAAACTTCTGGTGGAGACCTGGGCTCCACTAGCGAATGGAAAATCCCCCTTAGATACCATGATTTCTAAACACGTCTATTTTACCTATAAAATATCTTCAAAATAGCAATGCCAGGGGCGGGGATTTAGCTCAGTGTTTTCGCCACCTGCGGCACAAGCGCAAGGACCCGAGTTCGATCCCCAGTACCAAAAAAAAAAAAAAAAAAAAAAAAAAAAAAATCAATGCCAATACTACTAACAATAAGATTTCCTAAGTTTATTTTAAGATTTATTTTCTTTTTTTGCCCATGCACTATATCCTCCAAGAAGTTGTGATTAAAGTAGTATTTTCTAACATCATTTGAAGTGTTGTAAATTTAGATTATGAATTTGATATGTAAAATTAGCTCATTTTTCCCATTTGATTAAAAATACATTTTTTGAGAATGAAGATGTGTTATGTATATGTACCAACTCCCCGTGATGAATGTAATCATGTAGGGTAATATCCACTTATGAAGAAAATGATGTATGATTTCAAAGTGAAAATTAAATTTAAAAAAGACATACTCAAGGGATTGTGTGTCTACTCACATCCTGTTCATTCTGTTCTTCCATTTTCTTTTGTATACTAATGTTTTGTATATTTAACATTGCAAATATTTACCCCTTTACATGTATATATTTGTATGTATAACCTACAGTGGTACCTTGGTTCACGAACTTAATTGGTTCATGAATTTCATTTGTTCCATAATTCTGGAAAAGATGGCTGCAGTTGTGTTCATCACCTGACACCATGAGGAGCTGGTGAAGGGAAGCAATATTTTGCCTAACGCTTCTGTTTATGAACCTAATCGTGGTGAACAGAAGCGTTCCTGAACCAAGTTATTACTGTATATGTATATAGTGTGTATAACACAATATGTGTATGAGCAAAATTACAATTCATGTTTTATTTTTTTTAATTTACAGGAAAAGACACATTACCATTAACACCCCTCGAAGTACTCCCCTTTGCTTCCAACACACTAATCACATCATTCTTACCACTTTCTGAAATCATTCTGGAAGTCCTCATTTGTGACTTTTTTGTGCTCTTGCAGCTGCCTCAGTGTCCTGAACAGATTCTGAACTTTTATCTTTCATGGTGATTTTGATTTGGAGGAAAAGTGAGAAGTCACACAGTGCCAGATCCAGTGAATAAGGTGGATGAAAGCACACAGTAATGTTTTTACAAGCCTGCCTTTTCACTGGAAGGCACTCAGCAGCAGCGTTCATCACATGTAAGGACACTCATGAAAGAGGACTTCCAGAGCAGCTTCAAAAGCTGGCAAGAATGATGGGATAAGTGTGCTTCAAGTGAGGGGTGTTATTCTGAGAAGGATTTGTGGCAATGTATCTTTTACTGTAATATTTCTTTTTAAAATTTAAACACACCACATTTTAGATCAACACTTGTACATATGATAATCTTTTCTTTCACAAAATGTAGCTTATTTGGATTACTGGTCTGTATTTTGCTTTCCCCTCCACACTTGCCATGGATTTTATTATGGTCTTTTCCCACAGCTGTGTAAGTCTGTTAAATGAATAGACCAGTTATTCTATTGGTGCCTTGTTCACAGATATCCTGACACTTAAATAATTTGATACTTGATCTCATATTATCTTTAGGTTAATTTCCTCCAATTTGTATGTTTGGGGCAAACAATATCTGCAATTTAAGATGATAGTGAATGATTCCATTAGTATGTATGGTGCCACTTTGCACTCCCATCACTAATGCTTGGTAGTACCAATTTCTTCTCCTTTTCTTCTTTGTCATATTGGTTTTTTTAATATACTTTTGAGTATAATATTTAATTCAAGTATTTTAAAATCTTTTTTACTCTTGTTGTCTTAAATCTATAAATATTTTAATACTTCTATAAGTATACTCAATTCCTTACTTAGGTACTTACATAAATGTACTTAAAACTATAAATTTTTCCCCAGCAATGCTTAGTCTGTACTTTTTGACATGTAGGCATTTTCATTCATTCTTCAATTTTAGGTTGTCTTTTAACCTAAGAGTTAAAATTTCTATATGTAAAGTTCATTTTTTGTTATTCCTTCTAGTTTTGTTGTGTTACAGCCACAGAACAATTTATCCTTTTTGAGTCTTATTGTGGCTTTCTTGTTACCTGTACCTGAGGTCAAATTTCATGAATGTTTTATGTGTATTCAAAATGAGGCAGGTTTGCTTTCTTATTGAAATTTAGGGTTTATTTTTCCATCTATAAGATCTACCTCAGTGACCATTTGTTTTAGGTTTCCTGCCTACTTGATCTATCTTGGACTGCAGGAATTGAGGTGTATATTTTAAATTTGTGTTATTAATGTGTTATTAGTCAATGTTTTCATATCCTTGGTTTTCTGCTTTATGAAAGTTACTGCCATATTATTTCATAGATAAATGTTATTTTTAGCTTAATTGTAACTTTAAATATTAAAAGTTGCTGTAGTCGTTTCTAGTTGCTTTTAAATTTAATTTTAACTTTCCTGTTATGATTCTTTTTCATTTGCTTACTTAACCATTTTTATTAACTTTATTGAATAATTTTTAGTTCCTTACGTTTATACAACATAGCTTTGGGTTTTATTTTTGATCCAGATTTTAAAGTTCTTCCATTCATATAGGCCATTCCATTTGTATTTATTAATGAATTTTATACCTTTGGTCTCAATTCTATCATTCCACTCAGAATGGTGTTCTTTATTTCTAGAGGGAAGATTTGTTGATGATTAAGGATCCTTCTGTTACCAGGGATTCTCTGCTTTTCATCCATTCAGTTCTCACAGGATTCTCTCTACACATATGTAGATTGCATACTACAATGTAGATTGTATACTACATGTATACTGCATGGAAATGTAGATTGTATACTACAAATACAGATGGCATACTAGAGTATATTTGTCTGAGATACTTTTATCCCACTTGGAAAATTTCACATTGTAATTTCTTTATGTCCTATTTTCATCACAAGGTGTGAATGTTTTTCTTTGTACTCCTCTTTATTACTTTCTGGAGGAGATATGGGGAGAATTAAATTTAGATAGCACCTATCATCTGCCCCTTGTCTTTTAATATTGGGAAAGTGTATGTGTTAGTCACCTTTCCATTGCTGGCTTAATTCCAGAGGTTTCAGTACATGGTTGCTTGACCTTTTGGTTTTGGATCTGGCTTGAGGTAGAAATATCATAGTGGAAGGGCCTGGTCGGGGAAAGCCGCTCACCTCATGGCAATCAGGAAGCAAAGAGAAAGACCAAGATAGAAAAAGAGGCCAGGGAGCATATGTACCCTTCTAGGGCACACTTCCTCTAACTAGGCCCCATCTCTTAATGTTTCTACCATTTGCCAATAATTCCACCAGATTATGAACTCAACAAAAGATGAATTCAATGATGAGGTTAGAGTCAAGTCATCTTCCAAAGTGGCCCACCTCTGACTCTCCTGCAGGGAAACCAAGCCTGTGATATATGTGCTTTGACAGGACGTTTCAAATCCAAACCATAACACTATATTTGTTTTCCCAAAGCAAGATTTTGTTTTGCAATCATTATAAAAACCACAATTTAGAAAATATAAATTTTAAAAATATTCTTTAATGTGTTCATTTACCTATGTTCCTGTGCTTTGGTACCACCCATAATGTCTCCCAAATGTAAAAACTGATACTTTTGATACAATTTCTTTTCTCTTTCCAAAGTGTAAAATACGTATGAAAATAATTTTTTCTTCTTGGGATGATGTCAAATGAGTGGATATTACATTTTCTTATATTGGCACACATTAAAGACAACTTGGAAAAAAAGAAGAAAATGACTGTAAATTAAAATAAAATTCATGAACTCCCATCTTCATTGCCAGTAGTGCTATATGGGAATTTTTGTAAGTACTGGATTTCCTGGGCTAGACTATCTCTCTACAAGATTTATATGAAAACTTCTGTAATATTAATTGATGTCCCTGAGGTATCTGTGTCCATTCCGGAAGAAACAAAGTAAAAGGCTTCTTTGCTGGCTGTTGGGTATAATGAAAACACTGTATTTATTGACTGTGAGAAGAGTATGTATGAGAAAGATTTTCTGAAGACTATTTGGGATCTGTTTTTCATCTTTAGAAACTGCTTAGAGGTTCCAGTTGAACTAAGTGAAAAGTATAGATTTCTGTCTTTCAGTGATATATTGATGCTAAAAACTTTCATGAAGGCGCACAAAGATAGATTTGTGTTTGTAAATTAATATGGTCCTATTCCAAGGTAAAATAATTCTTAAGGAGTTGAAATAAAGTTGGAAGCAACACTAGAATATTTTATGTGTTATTTTAAATTTAACTTGTTCCTAATTTTTACTAAGCTATAGTTATTGCATTTAATATGGAATGTTAGCTCTAGTCTTTTCATTAGAAAAATTAAAACATTTTTATTTTATTGATTTTCTTTTCATTTAATAGTTAATAAAAATGACTGTTGATCAGCTGAAGGCAACTTATTGAAATCAGAATTAACTAATAAGAAATAAACTAATTACAGATATAGAGACTGAAATATTTATGGTTAATTTCAAATAAGACACATTTTAATATAATTAATAGTTTAAGGTCTAATTTTATAAATCAAGAGTTACAAAGTTAATAGCTTTTTATTGTTACTGTCTTTAATAAACACCTTACATATTGTAAGATGGCTACATGTTGAGGTTCAGATCATTTTCC